GATGCTCTATCATTTTAGAAAGCTGAGCAAGAAAGCCCTCAGCACATTATTGGCTTTTCTTCCTCAAGGCTGTTATTATTATAATCCTGACTCAAAAAGTCAGGAGTACAACATGCAAAGTGGTCCTAAAGTGTACTCCCATCCCTGAAAAAAACTGTTTTCCCAAGCCAGTGTATGTGTCTGATGTGGTGTCTTACATTATATTTGATATGTGTCTAGTGGACTGTTAAGAGCAGGGCTTCACTAGATGATTTGAGGAGTTCCAAGTGGGTGACAAAGTAGGATGACTCTTGAATTGACTGATGAAATTGTGTATCATAATCATACTGCATTCTTGTGTAAAACACCAATTTCCTGGCCTCCCAGTCAATGATTTTGATCCAATAAGCCTGGTCAATACCCACTAAGTTGTCCTTCTAACAAGCTCCAAGACATTCTGATTCAGGTTATCAAATTTACAAAACTGTGGTCTAGACTTTGAAAAGACATCGTTAATCTGGTTTAATTTTTGCTTTCCTAAAAAGCATTTTATCATGAATGTGTACATCTCCAGGGTAAAGAAGAAAAGTTCTCTAAGCTCATTTTTGTAAAGCAAACCATAGAGAGAGGGATTATGGACAAGGAGAACAATTTGACCTGGTTACATATTCTGGAAACCAACTTTAAAGAAATTCCCTCTCAAAAGAAAGAGTTTAATAAATTATCTTTAGAAATAACGTAAGACATACATTGCTTAGCTTCTAATAGCTGAAAAATTGTTGGTGAATATTATCAAATTTAGCTATAGGAATCTCCAGAATTATGCATTAAAGTAGCGAACAAAAAGGCAAGTCTATGATATTAGAGGAGTCCCTGCATGGTGCAAATGGTTAAGAGCTCAGCTATTAACCTAAAAGGTGGAGGCTCAAGTCCACGCAGAGGTACCCCAAAGAAAAGTCTGAAAAATCAACCATTGAAAACCCTATGGAATACAGTTCTACCCTGACACACACGGGGTCACTAT